TAAATGAGGGGTCGCTTTGTTATAATCAGTTGCAGTTGTTTTCCTGTTACGAGCTATTATTTCATGCCCATTGGACCAAAGATGTTGGATATTTGGCTCATAAAATCATGGTCGTGGGACTACCATAAACTATAGTGCTTGTGAGTGAGAGAGAGGAAGAGGGGCCACTGAGGATGCGAGTTGAGGAACTTGAACGACCTTAGGGGCTAGCTAGATAAGAAATAAATTCTTGCGCTATGTGGCTCCCCATTCCTTTTTGTTCTCATGGAGCTTATCAGGAGGATAATCAGGTCATTTGTGATCCAGCTAGCATGATCTTTTCTTTCGCATCGATATGATCCTGTAGCTTTAATGTGACATCATCAGATTAGGGTACCCATTTGAAATTACGAGCGAGTTTAATTGCATGTGAAGTTCTAGCTCTACATGTGAAATTCTTGATGAAGATAATTTGCTATGAAGATTGCACCACTAGGTTGCATCCACTTGAACTAGGGCTGTTTATATACTTCCTTATTGACTCTATATACAATTTTGTTTTCTTATAATTGCTCGTGTCACTAACTATAATTTATTTGGGATTAGAGAGTGCCCTTGATTATCCTTCATCTTTTCTGATAGAGTGGGAAAACACAGGAAGTTTGTGTACACAACTTGGATTTTAGGATCATTCAAGCGATCTCACAAATAATCAAATTTTTTTTATCATATACTAATCAATGATAATCCAATTATAAACTGTTGTTATTTATTTTTTTTTTTTTATAGAAATGCGGTTACATAGATAAGACTAATTATTTGAAGGTAAATCTAATCCCATTTGATCCTATCAAATGTTTAAATTCAAATTAATAGTTACCAGAAGATAAAACAACCTTATTAAATAAATGAAATGAAAATAATTGAACATTAAATATGGTCAAAAAAGATTTGAGATGAGTTCGGTTCAGCCCCTTTATTGCATAAATTTACTCCTTTGGATTGGCTCATGACAATTTGGTTATTTGGATGAAACCAACTATTCTGTATTACATTAATTTGATTGCCCAAGAGCTTTTCTCCTGAAAAGTTTAGTGGAGAACGTTGAGGAGGAAGTGGCATCACAGGGTCATATGGTGGTGGATGAAGCATCCATGTTTTAGAGAATAATATATGGAAGTTTAGAGAATACACAAAGATCTATAGGCTTGGTTGTTATGCGACTACAAACTTCATATGCGTGTAAGATTTTTGCAATGCGGACCAACAATAGATTAGGCAGCAAAGTACAACATGAAAACTTAATCTTTCATAGGTTTAACTGAAACAACTATAATCATATAAAGTAGTATATTGTTCATAAGATAGTGGAATTTGAATTGAGTACAAATCCCAACAATAAGTGGGAGAAGAATAAATGTGAACTTTGATACAACTAATGATATCTTACGTAAGAAATTTTCAGCAAACATTATCATATTCTCAACAATATTCTCAGGATCTAGGACTTCATTCGACATATGTTCTATTTTATCCTCCAATAATGTCTCAGCTCCAACTTCAATTAATGGTGAACTTAGTACTGATATCTCATAATTAGTCTCCAGTTCTAATTCATCATCAAAAAGAGGAGTGCCATTATGAATGTCTTTATTAGGACCATTTACTTTTTGTTGAACTGGAAAAGGGTTTAAGATTTTCGTGATCAAAGAAATCTTGTGTAATAAATTGCTTCGAGTTTTGCAAAAGTGCATATTTATGTGGATAGTCATTTGTTGTAGCCTATCAAGTGCTTCATTAATATGGATCCAATATTTTTCATAAGATGCATTATCATAAGTAGATGATTATAGGAATCATCTTTATCATTAAATGTGTAAGGGTGAGGAGATACAAGAGGATAAATTGGCATCCACAAATATAATTTTCATGAGGTGCAAAATAATTTCTATCTTTATAATATATTGCTACTCCTTGTTTGCGACAATCTGGTGCCATTGGAACTAAAGAGGACTGTGATAAAGAAACCCATTGGAGTTTGACGAGGATTGGTAGTGCTTGATGAAGCTAAAGTTGTTGGATTTCTTGTGGCAACCACAAGGAGATGTACAACTGTTGGATGAAAGATCAGGGGCAATTATCGGACAATTGTAGTTGGGGGATATATATATATATATATATATTGGTGAAGTCAACCTCAAGGAATTACAAGGATGGCACGAGATTAGTCACAGGTGTAGTTGAGTTGGCTATTGAAGTGGTTGATGTGGAAGGTACGGAAGATGTGGATGGGTTATGGTGATGATAGATGCTTATAAGTTGTGGTCATTTGTTTATAGAAATAGTGTTAATAGGATGAGGCTATTTATTTGAAAAAAATTTTAATTCTATCCAATCCTAAAAACCATTCAAATTTAAATCTAATACCATTTAGAGGGAAGATAATTGATACCGATAAAATAAATCAAATTAAAAATAATAGAACTTTGACCATGATTTAATATGTTTGTTAAAGGGATTAAAGACTATTCCTATTGAGCTTTTTTTAGCATAGGCTAATCTCTTTTGATCGACGTATGAAAATCTTATTTTTGTAGGGCTAAACGGGCAAATTTGTTCTGCATTTTTAACTACAAGATTTTTTGTTGCAGCTAAAAATTAATTAACATTGGTTTAGTGCTGTGTGCATTCGTCTTTTTGCTATAAACTATTTGATTTCACCTTCTCCTTTGGCTTATTTTTTTTATGACAGCCTACTTTTATTCTTAGGAAACTGTGATTTGTTAAATGATTAGTTTTTTGGTTAGCTAATGCTCATTATGGCTCTTCTTTGGGTTTTCAATTTTTGTTGCAAGCATGCAGCTGGTACTATTTACTAAATGCCATAAACTGGTTTCTTTTTCCTGTAAACTTCTCATTTAACCTGTTTCCCCTTCTGCTTCTTTGATCCAATTTTATCTCTGTAAGTGTCAGAATTGTAAATTTTTTTGCTTAAGCCAAAATAAGTTTCTTTTTGGTGATTATGGTTCCATGGTAAAGATTGGATGGCATATTGGCCGACATCCCAGTTCTATTTTCTTTGGAAATTACTGCTCAGTCAAGTCTTTCAATTTTATTAATGCATTTTTGAAACATAAACTCCAGTGTTCCTGCAAACAGACAATTCAATTGATACCGTTTTGAGTTATTTCTGTAGGAGTACCCTAATGACGATTCATGAAGCTAATTGATACAGGAGTTAACAACAGCGGAAAATTAAATATTATTGTTGAAATCAAATAGGAACTTACAACGAAACAAAACAAAAGCATGAAAATGCTACAAACACGACACTAACTCCAACTAGGATTGGATCAAAGGGTGGTGAAGGTGGCAGGTGTGGGTATGGAAGGTGGCTGTGTGGTAGAAAGGGGCGGTTGGCAAGCAGAAACAGCTAGGCGGCTGTTTCCCATGTTCTTGAATAGCAGGCAAGCAGTGAAGATCGATGTGGAAGGGTTGTCCTGAGTGGTGACGACAAGGAAGAAGGTGGCGGCAGCTCAGAGGAGGCGGTTAGCAGCGCGGATAGAGGTGGGGGTTGCTGTCTAGGGCAGCGGCAGCAGCAAGCCTGGAGGGGATTGGAAGGTCAGAAGTGGCTGGAACAGCAAAGACTTGCTGTCCCTGAGCCGGTGACAGAAAGTATGGGAGGGAAGGTTCCTGGTGGCGGCTGGGATTGCAAAAAACAACAGGGGAATGGCTGAGACAGCAGGAAACAGGCTGGACAAGTGGTGGCTGCAGCATTGGAGAGCGGCCGGGAGCGGCGTGGGGAGGATATGGTAGGGGTAGGAAAGATAATCACCACTTGGAGACCAAGATACAACTGAAGCACTACCTGGAATTCTAGGATACAACCCTCGAAGAGAATAAGTGACGCCGGCGACTGCTCTGATACAAAACACACAAAAATTGAAAATCTCAAACACAAGAATTACATAAATAAAGCCCTAGATAACTAGGATTGGATTCCACTTGCAAAGGAGCATCAAATCGATGTGGAAAAGCTGGTCAGCTCTCCCAGATGCTAGACCGAACCGGTTTGACTGCAGACAGACATCTACGCCCATTCCCGTGTCAATTGCTCACATCCGTCTCCCGCTCTCACATTCATCTCCTGCTCTAGCATTTGCATGTGTCCCATGTCTGAAGAGATGCTTCCGTGTCAAACATCATCTATGTTAATATTGTGGAGCTTCTATAATTATTTATGCCGTTTCAAGGTTTAAAATTTTTTGAAAATCAACATTTTAAAATTTTTATTTAACTATATTAATTATCTATATTCTCAGACTGCAATTGAAACTTCGACAGACCCCTAATTTCGCCTCTAGAAAGGAATTTTATAAAATGCTGATCCATCTATAGCAAACTGATGGAAGATATTTTTAAGGTTATTTGCAGAGATCAACATTAATATATTGGCAACACTTCAGCATCGCCTTACATTTTTTTTTCTCTGGGAATAGTAACTACCTTTTAATTCTTCTGTTAACTTTTTTGATGCAGTGTATAACCTGCTTCAATAGTTTAAAACAGTAATTCTGTTCTACATATATGTGAATTGTAAGTTTTGTTATCCTTGTGACAATTGGTGCTGTTAGGTTATCTTAATAACATTCTAGATCCGGAATGCTATTCTTGCAAGCTATGGTTTATTTTTTGTTCCTTGAGCAGCATAACTGGCCAAAACATTTCCAGCATTCTTTGATCTATTGCTTCAACTCTTTTCTTTTGGGAAAATGGACTAAACTGCTTCTGAATGCTTTACTGAAATTTGGAGCAAGCTTATTGAACTGATGATTAATAAGACTGATCCCAATTTACTTCGGTAAAGTTAATGATCTTGATGATGATGACTTTGCTGGATTATATAAGCTTCACTGGCATTCAATGTTAACTTAGTCGTGAACTAACTCTTTATTACAATGTTATATTCTTCTTTCTTTGGTATTAAATTCAAATAAGGTTGACTTCTTTATTAACTACAGAAATTCTTCAGAGGAAGGAGGGCTGTTAAATTTGAACGATCAAGAATACGAGAGCAATTCTGCCATACATTCGGTGATCAAGGCCAAAAAGCAAATAAGTAGGTTTTTCTGATGTCTACATGTGCCAAAATACCGTGACTTTCTGATGCTGATAACGTCTATGGAAATTTAATTTCTTTATGCTGTGATAAAATTTTGAGCAAAATCTTCTAAAACCCTTATAAAAAAATGTCTGTTAAATCAGGAGTTGCTTAAGTGCTGATTCAGAGTTTCTGCCTCAGTTACTCCTTTTCTTCTCGGTAAAGAACAGCGGTGATGTAGCTATTCTAACAGCAGCAAGCCGGTTAATACTTCAGCTTGCTTATAATGGTGGTAAGCTAGCAAATTTTGTTAACCTTTTCCTTAATTACTTCTCACAGATCTTCTCAGAATTTTGTAAAGTTATTGAAATGAAGGATTTTGTTTCCCTAAAGGTGGAATATGTAGCGGGGATGATAGCTATTCAAGGTGTTTTTGAGTTTTTTCTTCTATCTGAGGCTTTTTATCTTTCATTTGCCTCTTTTATATTGATGGCGGACAGCATTGCTTGGGTTTCTACTTGAGTTTTTTTTCTTCTTTTATCTACTTTAAATTTGTAGGAAGGCATCTATAAAAATTCTCTTGAGAAGGCGATGGAAACAGGGTACAAAAGCAGGAAGCTTGAGTTGAAGGCCTAGGAAATTTCAGATCACTTTCTGCCCATGTTTGCTGTTTCTATTCTTGTGGCAATGTGTTCATGCCACTTTAATCATTTTTCACAGATTTTTTTTTTGTGAGAGAATTTATGTTTATTCTTTCGATTAGATGCTCATTTCACCATTCATTTTATATTTTTCCAGGTTTTGCTACTTGTCCATCACAGCATTCTGATTACTATGTCCTTTTGGCTCTCTTTTTTCGGCGTCAAATTTTTGAATTGAGATCAATTTTATTGCTTTTGACATTCTTGCTTGCTAAGTCAGCATTAAATCTCATTTGTATGCCTTTAACGCGGTTGAGGGCTTTATTTTTACCTTTTCTTTTAAAGTTTGTCACTCTAGTGAAAATTTATACAATTTTCAATTTAGTCCGTTTAAGTCTAGATCATGATTATCATTGTTGTTATCATCTTCTCCATGATTATCATTTTAAATAGAAGAATCTACTTGTCTATATTAGTGTTCTTGACCATGTTCTTCTGTTCGAAGATTTGCTTCTAATCTCACTCAATGCTTGATGATCAGTTCATTTTTTCTATATTGAGATGAAATATACCATTTTTAATGACTTTGAGATTTCCCAGGGAATCTTGTGAGTATCTTTTCAGGAACAGATTATTCTGCTAAGCGGTCTGTTGTAGAGATGAGGGTCAAAAAGCTTGTGCTAGCATGCATCAAGACAATCCACCATATGAGGTTGGTCATTTAACTCAACTTTCATTTAGCATTTAACGTGGATGTTGAATTTTTTTGGAGCCTGTGCATATCTAGCGGACTATCTATTAAGTTTTAACTTCGTTTAAACTGGGGGGCAATTTCATAGTTAACCCCAAGGTGTTGCATAGTTACAGAAATAACACATTTGATTTTATTTCATTTTCTTCATTATAAAACCATCCAAATCTTTAATGATTCAACCAAACCTTTGAAGTATCATTTTAAATTATTTGGATGCATACACAAATTTGGAATGTTAATGTTTTAAATAAAGAAAATTTTTATGACTTATTCTCACTTTTAACAGAAACATTTCTTTTCTTAAATCATGCATTAGACACGCTTATAAAATTGACTTGACTATTTTTCAGTGCTTTGGAATTCTTAAAAAAAGGTTGACATCATTCTGGCGAGAGAGAATTTATATGGGAAATGCTAATAGTCCTATCATGAATCTCATTGAAACATATTGAAACCTATTTTTAAAACTTGCCTTCACAATGTTTTTTTTACATTTTCTTCTAAAAGAATTTATGAAATAATAGAATATACTCAAATCAAACTAGCTAATGATTTGTTTGCTGTCAAGTTTCTAGAAAATTTATTACTCTATCAAGATATTTTTGCTAACGTGTATATGAATGGGTTAATTTCACGATTAAATTTCTCCAAAAGTTTGAATTAGTTACAATAAGCTATCAAAGGAGTATTTGATGTGCATATATTCTAGCTCTTATGAAGAGCTTTGTTGACAGATAACATAGTCGTGAAAAGAAGTTGGCTAATCTAGTCGATACTTTGGCTTGTTGTATTATATGCGGAGCTTCATTAATCATATTTAAAGTTTACTTCAATATTTAACATATGTAAGAGTCAAGGCGATGACACCATTTTAAAATATGTATAGAAAAACTGTACTCAAATTCATTATTTTTTTAAGGAAAAAAAAATCGTCTAGAATATAAAGATTGTAAGGCCATTACAAGTGAAAATTTAAGTATTCCATATTGATTATTAGCGGCCCAGGCGAAGCTTCTGACGGAGCGAGTGGCCTCCCGTGCTTCTCTCCCCCTTCATTTTCTGTTTCTTCTTCATATGGAAGCATTTAATGGCTGATTGTTGATATTTCTTGCTACCCCACCCCTTCCTTTGGCGTGAGAATTTTCTTTTTATTCCTTTCCTTCTCTTCTTCATGCAAGAGTCTATTTATTTGTTGTTTTCAAAATTTAGGGGTTCTCTTTGCTGTATTCAAGGAGGTGGTGATGCTTCGGTTGTATCCTACTCCGAGGTTGTGATTGTATCTCCCCCTTTATCTTCCTGACTTCTTCTCATTCACTTCCCTTAGTTGCCAACACCCCGCAGCTTCCCCCCTGCACTGCCGCCCTCTTTTTGCTGCAGCAACCCGCTGTCCACCCTTTTCAGGTCCCTCCCGACCCCACCGCTACCCTTGCTGTCACGGGTCTTCCCCACCGCTACCCTTGCTGTCCAGCATCTTCCAACCACCAATTCGCCTGTCGCCGGCCACCTGCGACCCGCCATACTTTGCTGTCCTCGAATTCTATAGTTTCCCCTCGCTGCCATCAACACTACTTTGCTGCCCACACCCTTGCCAACTGTCTCGATCCACCCATCCAACCTCCACCACCTTTGGGATACACTTTCAAGGTGTTTGTTTGTGTCGTTTTAATGTTTTGGTGATGTTACTTTCAGTTTGTGTGTGTTGTAACCCTATTTTTCTATTAATAAAAATTATATTTTATGGTTTGTCCTTTCTTCTGCTGTATCATTTGGTATCAGATCTAGCCCAACCCTAGTCTCATTCTAGGGTTACTTAGCCTCCGCCATCACCCAAACTACCTCGACAAAAATTGTTTCTTTCCTTTTCCCAATCATAGCCAAAACTCTTGATCTAACCCTCAATTCCTCTTGCTGATTTTCAAAATCAGTAACTTAAAATTAAATATTTAGCCCTCTCTAACCTCCAAACTCTACATCCTAGCCGTGTCACTAATGAGATACATGCTCGAGCTCTCGAGCATTCTCAAGAGGAGATACGACAGAGATCCACCAATTTCAACGAAGGCTTGTGGACATTGAGGATGAAATTCAATGGGAGGCTACCTTCTAGCATGATTTGAAAGGTCGAAGGAGGGAATGAGAGGATATGATGCTGAAGCGGGAGACACAGTACCGGGTCCTACTAGCTTACTACAGACAAAAACTTTGGATTCTATCTTCAAAAGTGGAGGGACCACACCATTGAGCTATACCCACATCTTACAGTCAGGGGTCAACATGAGGAACTTATAGCCAGAGTGCACTTAGAGGAACAACCAAGACAATCCCATCAGAGGACAAACTAATGCAAAATTGGGAAAATGTGTGATTAGGCGGCATCCCTAAACCAGTCATAACCAGGAAGTCTTGAGTGCCATGGATTTGGGCATGTAGAATTATTACACACCACCAATGGAGAAATCTGTTTCACTGAGCATGAGTTTGTTGAAAAATTGGGCAATGATAGTCGATACGGGAGAAGTTGAAGACTTCCGGAAGGATGCTCCTCTTGCATCTAGTGAGAAAGAGACGCCACAAATTCTAGTGGATCCCGAGATAGATTCTGGCCGAGGTAACAATAGCCTTTACGGAAGGTAGCGACCTTGATGTAATGAGCATTCGAGCAGAGTATGAAATTATGATACCTCAAGATACCATTTCATAGGCGCTGAGTGCTGAGAGGAGCTACAGCAGGACCCACCTTAGCGGTCCATAAGGATCACGAGCTTGATGAGCCGACATCAGATACAGGGCCATCACAGATACAAGAAATACAACTTTTTCAGATGGTTAGATCTCTTCTTGAGTTATTCCTAGGGGAGGTCAAACATGTTCAAAGAGTATTGATTTTGTGCCATGCTTGGATTATTATGGGGAGTATTTTAGATGTTAGATTCAGCTCAGCGGGATACACTTCAACAGATGCCCAATCAGGAGGGATGGAACTCAGCTTTGAAATGTGTCCTAAGAGCTCGTGGGGGATAAAAGGTCTTCAATGGGATCCAGGTCCTATCACTGAAGAAAACGTCTCTCCTAAGTGATCGATAGTGAGAGTGGCACAGCCTGCCACAGATTTCATCCCTAAATTGAGTTTTCTCACAATCTTATTACCAACCACTGCACGCTAAGCATGAGAAGTGGAAAGAGAAGATTTCAACTGTAAGGGCACGAGGGTTGCATTGCTAGAATCCTTCTTTATATGCAGCTCCCGTTCAGGATGTGTCAAATGTGGATGAATACTTATTCTACCAGAACGTGCTTTGGGACAACCACACCTATGGGATTGACCTTTTAGGACTACATTAGACGATCCATCCGTCCTGAGAGGTTACAATAGCTCCCTCACTGTCCGTGTGCTGACATAAGCTTTGAAAATTGGTCTGAAGCTCTCCCAATCCTAGGAGACTGACGTGGGTGCGAAACTTTCCCGCGCGGGCGGGACGTGGAAGGCTCTTTTGCGAGCGGGAGCAGAGGACCAACCTGATTGGGTCCAATTGGGGGCTGGTCCACAGTGATCCCGGGTCGAGCGACTCAAGCGAAGCTTCTGATGGAGCGGCCTCCCGCGCCTCTTCTCCTTTTTCTACTTCTTCTTCATATGGAAACATTTTAATTGTTGATTGCTGATGTTTCTTGCATCCTCACCCCTTCCTTTGGTGTGAGTTTCTTTTTTATTCATTTTTTTTCTTCTTCATGTAAGAGTATTTATTTGCTGTTTTCAGAATTTAGGGGGAGTCTTTGATGTTTTGATTTCAGATTCCATGTGTGAAAACTCTTCTCCTTTTCGTTGAGCTGTGCCGAGGAGGTGATGGTGCTCCGGCTGTACCTTACTCTGAAGTGGTGATTGTATCTCCCCTATTATCTTTCCAACTTTTTCTCATCTACTTCCCTTAGTCGCCAGCACCCACACAACTTGCACTGCCGACGCCCTTTCCTGTTGCTGTAACCTGCTGTGCACCTGTTTTAGGTCCCTCTCGACATCTTGCCGACGCCCCTACGCAACTACCTTTCTGTCACGGGTCTTCCCCACAACTGCCCTTGCTATCCAACACCTTCCAACCACCAATCCGCCTGTCACCGACCACCTCTCCGTACTTGCTCTCCCTGTTGCTCTTGCTGTCCACCACTGACTTCCTTGTCAACCATCGCGATTCACCCAACTAACCTCCACCGCCCTTGGGATACTCTTTCGAGGTATTTGTTTTTGTCGTTTTAATGTTTTGGTGATGTTATTTTCAGTTTGTGTCTGTTGTTACCCTATTTTTCTATTAATAAAAATTGTATTTTGTTATTTGGGCTCTTTCCTCCGGTATCAGACACTCAATGAGACACAATGGAGAAAAAGGATTATGTTTGATATGAAAAATATTGATAGTTTTGTACTTTAACCATAGTTTGATATTGCAATGACTAGGTTCAAGAAGTTTAATCAGTATTCACTGACAAAATGATGGTCTGGAAAAACTGGAAGTATAATTTCAAGACTGTCACCCCCTCGAGAACCTAGCTATAATAGAGAAGAAAAATAGAATAAATAGCTTAGAAATTTTAGAATCAATGTAAATAATTGCTAGTTTATGTTGAAATGAATATGGATATTTGTTTTTAGAAGAGTCCAATCCTTGATGAAAAGGCAATCAAAATTAGGCAATGAAGCCCTTTGAGAACCAAATTGCCTTAGTTAGTCCCCCAACAACATCAGGGTAGGAATGAGGAGCACCAATATCAGGAGAAAAAATGGCCATAGATGCTCAAACAATAGGCGAAGGAACTACAAAGAAAATGCTGGCACCAGAACCTATGAAGGAGCATCTATGAAGTATGGAGTCGTAGAGTAGGAGGGGTGACCTACATGAGGATCCTTTCAAAACTTTAGGAGTAGCCAATGAGAGACAAAAGCTGAGGATCATTAAAATAGACCACAAGGAAGGAGGAGGATTTAAATTGGAGGCCGAATAATTGCCATGTGCACCGTTAGTACTTAATGGAAGTTAATGAACTCAAAGTTTTGAAGTCATTATGGAAAGCAAAAAATCTATGGAAGTCAAAAGCAATTGAAGAAGACAATTTTATCGCCTTAGTTGGAAGAGGGAATGAGAGCAACAATCCTACCTGATCTTAAGACATTGCTGATTTAAGTTGTTAGTGAAAGAGATTGGGTGGACTTAATGAAAGGAGCGCGAGAAGCATCATGTGCAAAAAGTGGTACTTAGCTAAGAGAGACTGAGTTTAGAGCCGTGAGTTATGTTTGTGGCTTGAGTAGTAGTTGAGCTCGAGGGATGTGCTCTAGCACTCGTGCAAGTGTGAAGGCGAGCGACACTGTTTGTGGAAGTCAAGCATGAGGCAAAGATGTGGCATCAAGGGAGCTTGAGGACTATATTTACAACAACAACAAGAATCTTTATCCCATTAAGTGGGGTCGACTAAATGAATCTTTTTTTTCCATTGTTCTATTGAGTTTCATATTTTAATTTAATTCTAATAGATTAAGATCATTTTTTACACAATATGCCTAAGTCTTTTTTGGTCTACCTTTGCCTTTCTTAGCATAAGTCAAATTTAAAACATCTATTCTCCTAATCAGATCATCAGATGGTCGACGTTTAATGTGACCAAACCATTTAAGAGGACTCTTTAATCTTTTCTGCTACACCAACTCTTTCACGGATAGATTCATTTCACATTATTTCTCTAAGTGTTAAGCCACTCATCCACCTAAGCATTCTCATCTCAACAACATTTAACTTTATTTTATTTCTCTCTTTTAAAGGCCAACATTCTGCTCCATAAAACATTGTAGGTTTCACCAAGATCGTATAAAAATTTCCTTTGAAGTCTAGATTTAGTTGAATGACGAAACTGTGTTATAATGAAATGAGTACATATGGGACAATTCAGATTATTCTATCCTATAAATTTTGATAATTTTAATAATTTGGTTTAAAATCTGATATGTCTCTATGAACTTGGTAGGTGATGTGAAATTTGGAGGTTACACTAAGTTAGGAAGCTAGGGATTGTTTATTAAATTCAAGAAAGAGGATGAATGGAAAGATGTGTCTTAGCTGAAACGAGATCCTTCTCTCTAGTAAATGATTTAACTTGTGATTTTTTTTAATGGACAATTAGCAGCTGTATCAAGTAAATTTTTAATTTTTTGTTTCTTTCAAGAATTAAAAAATCTTCAATTTTTAAATGTTTTTCTTGTGAATTTCTCATCAGTTAACCATTCAACAGTTTTAAATGCCTTTCTGGTGAGAATCAACTTGCTTTTTGGCATAGCTTTGAAATATTTATTTTCGTACTCTGCACGTAGGGATGGCTTGAAGGACCAGCTTCTGATGCCATCTGGTACGCCTACAACTATTTTATTGGATACAGTGGCCATCTTAATAAACCCTGATCTTCCATGGGTCTGCAAGGTTATTGGTCATCTTTTGCAGCAGCAGATCTTCCTCTTGTTACGTGATATCATTCTCTGCACCATGGTAAGTGTTTCATGTTGCCAATTTTATGTGCTGGTCTTATGTGATGATAACCTTAGTATTTTTCTTTTTGAAGCAATTTGCTTATTAGTTACCTGTGATAGATTGAATGGTATTTCTCTAGCAGTGTTCAGGTTTACTTATTATTTTCATTTTTGTACATCCATATTGGCAACTCACTAGAATGTGTTCTGGATAGCTGCATCTTTGAGTAACTTTTGCGGGGTGATTGGTTTAGTTCATTGTTGTTAAAAAAAAAAATAGTGCCATCTACGGTTTACTAGGATCCTCAATAAATATGATCAATTTTTATATCCTTCTATCTCTCAGATAGATTGAAATCAAAATGGTTGGCTAATTTGGGTAAAAAATACGTGCTGATTAAATAGGAATTAAGATGTTTTTTAAATATTTGCTATTTAGGAATGCCAATAAACTAAACGAGTGATCTTTTCTAATGAAATAATATTAGTTTATCCAAAAATTACGTAATTATGATTAGCTCTCTTTCATCCAAGTTTAACTAGTTGTACCAGTTGGCTTCATGTTATGAAGTACTGTTTTTTTATGCTTACATGTTATGAGATAAATCAGGTTGGTTCTTGTTCTAAATCTTATTAACAGTAGCCTGACCATTCAAACTTCAATCTAGTTTCGTGAAAGAATTCTCGTTTTTTATCTTTTTTGTTTTTTCCGGCACCTGGGCCCTAAGCGCATGGAGAATGGTTTCCCATTGAGAGACTACTCCATGCACTTTAATAGGAGTCATTTTTTTTTGTTTCCTATCCATCTTAATTAATTCTCATTTTCTTTAGAAAAGGTAACTAGTCGATCTCTTGTGCAAATCATAAGAGTGGGGCTGTACTAATTTTTCTAATTCACGCTCAATGGGTTTAACTACTTCTAGACTTTGGAATGTATTACTTGTAGAAAGGTGGAGGAAATCATATTCTCTTATTTCTTAAATAATCAAACCAAAACTCTTCTCCTTATATAATAAGGAATGACTAGGGCATGATTAATTACAACAATTGTAACTTACCAAAGAAAACATAATTCTAGAAGGAAAGAAATATGACATAATAAGAAGGAAATCAAAGAATAAAACTAAAATAGATAACTTGAATTACACACTCTTAATGTGCTTGGTCCTATCATGATGCACATGATTCTTTGTAATACTAATTGTGGCATGACTGTCACAAAATATCTTCATGGGATTGATAGTAGTGTATCTCAACCCATTTAGTGACATTTGGATCCACATTCCTTAACAATTTCCCAAAACAAGTGTGCCCGATGCTCAGATTTTGCACTATTTTTAGGGACAATTACTTACTTTTTGCTCATCGAAGTGTCAAGATTTCCCCAGACATATGAACAATACCAAGAAGTGAACCTTCTGTCCGCGAGTTCTCTTGCCCATCTAGCTTCCATGTAGACTTTTACCTCCATGTTTGATTTTTTAGAGAGTAACCCTCGGTCAGGTTTCTTTAACAAGAAACCTCAATATTCTATAAACCATCTCAAGTGTTTTTCATTTGGACTATTCATATGTTGACTCACAATGCCAATAAAGTAAGCAATATCAGGTCTAGTGTGTCATAAGCTAGATAAGCTTATTCACCAGTCTCTAGTATTTACCGTTTTCCACTAATGTTTTTTCTACCCTTGAATGTAATTTTTTTTGTTGAAATCCATAAGAGTATTAGTAGGTTTGCACTCTAGCATTCTAGTCTTTTTTTAACAAGTATGAGATGTACTTTCTTTGGGATATCATAATGCTCATCTTGGATGGACACTTTCATGCCCTGAAAGTATCTCATCATTCTTAAATCCTTAATTTCAAATTTAGTGACAAGAACCTCCTTAATTTTTTCAATTTTTTTTTACTATCACATCTCAAAATTATATCATCTACATAGACAATGCTTCTTACTTTCTTGTGTATGTTTTATGAACAATGTGTGATCTGCTTTGCATTATATGTACTTATTGGATTTCATAGTCCTGACAAACTTGTCAAACCACACATGGAGATTGTTTGAGGCCATGAAGTGACCTTAATTTGCAAACCATATGTTAATTTTAGTCATTTTTCAGTCATGCTATGATTTTCATATACACTTCTTCTCCAAGGCCTCTATTCAAAAATGTATTCTTGATATTAAGTTATTTTAGTTTCCACTTTTTGTTCACTGCCAAGGAAAGAAGCACACTTAAAGTGTTTAACTTGGTCGCTGTAGCAACGATCTCTTGATAGTTTATCCATAAGACTGAGTGAAACTTTGGTCACCCACCTAGTCTTGAATCTATCGATGCTCTCAACTATTTTGTACTTGACAGTGAACACCCATTTGCTCCTAATGGGTTTTTTAGCTGGAGGAAGCTTTGTACAGACCCATGTGCCATTTAGGTCAAGAGCTTAGATCTCCTTTGCAATTGCCTCTTTCCATTATGAATTGTGCATTGTTTCCTGAACGAACTTGGTATTTGCACACTATTAAAGATTCCATACAAAAGCTTTATAAGTTGATGATAACTTTTCATATCCAACATAAGTCTGAATAGGATAATCTGTACAACTTTTGTAATAATTTATTTTGAGAAATCAAGTAAAATTTTTAGCGATCTAAAATGTACTCCAAATTTCAGGTTCCTCAGATTTCAACCGAGTTAATTTTATAAAATTCTACGTGTTAAAACGATCAATTCAATATAATAGTATATATAAATTATGAACGGTTTCAGAGGTATAGAAATTGAAAGTTATATGTTTAATTAATTTAATTAAAGATAATTATTTCCTAAACTCTTGTACCCTTACAGTTCCCCACCGATCTCTAGCGCTATTTACACCCCGATTCACTCGAATGGGGGCTTCCAAAGTCTCCGAATTCTCCTTCCATCTCCCGATTCCATTCCCTCTCCCTCTCCCTCACAACAACGACTCGATTATGCTCGGTAGAGGAATTCTGCGAGAGCAGTGAGGGCGAGCGACAGTCTAAGAGCCGCAATTCATGACAGGGATAGAGGGAGAAATCTATGAGTTTAAACCTCTTCCACGCTAAATTCGGCTTTCCCTTCCTCCCTTACCTTGTTCCTCTCAGCTAAGGGAGCCTGCGACTCCTGCTATAGTGCTTGAGTCGGGATTTTGCGCAGACGCACGACAAGGAACAACAAGCAGCTAGGTTTCCGAAACCGGGGGTGAAATCGGCGAGTATGAAACCCTATCTCACGTTACTTTAGGTATTCTTTTTCTTCCTCTTCTTTCTATTTTAACGTATGTGACGAATTGTGCATCTTTTTCGTTTTTTGCAGTTGTTGGAGGTGCCAAACTTACGTTAGAAGTGTCATAAGTGGTTTGTGAGTTTCCTTAGAGGCTTTAGCATGAAATCAGTGAAGGGAAAATGAGATTTGAAGTGTTAGGAAGAAGAAGGAAGAATTTTTGGCAGCTTTGGAAGACAGACTTGTGCCGAGAGGCTTAATTGAGGTAAGAAAGTTACTTTTGGGTTAAATTACTTTGACCAAAAAATTATAAAATCTTAAGATATTTACATATTTCAAGTTATTTACCTGCGGTGACGAGTTCGAGGCAAGTGTGTGAAAACTATTCGTAGGACGGCTCCGTAAAATCCAGGTAAATTAATTCTAAGTGAAGAAGAATAATTTATTTAACAAGAATTATTTAAATCTTAAAGTTTAATATTATGTTTTATTACTTTATTAGTTCAACATAAAGTTATCGCAACACTAGTTAGTTATGAAGATTAAGATTTTAGCGTGGCAACCGTGTGAGAATTACAATTTTAAATTTCAATAATCTACTTTATTTTAAAATGTATGTTTGACTCCATGGATGCTCTAGTTTAGTTAGATCCTATATATTGTTAGTCAGAAATATGAGATGCATGGTATGTATGATATACATGATTTGTAAGATAAGCATGATAAGATAAATACACATGATATACACGATGAAAGATGATATGAATGATATCAGTAAGAGATATGCTTGATATGAGAGCTATATATGATGAATAGTTACATAGTAGAGTAAATATATATGTTAGTAAATTCATAAAGATATCTCAAAATAATTTATGTTATAAAGAATGAAATATTTTATATATGAATGCTTGTATGTGCATGTTCAGAACATGATTTCACCTCTAATGGTATATGCAGGGGACACTAGTGTATCCGCACGGGTAGAGTTAGTCTACCACATATACGATTGTGAGTTAGATTACTAACTGCTTTGTTGACAAGATAATATTAGTTAGGGGTGAGTAGGTTCGAGCTTATATCATTGAACAATTGTGATATTTACATTGCTAACCATTGTGCCAATAAAATACTATCGACCAGGGTCAAGTAAGGGTCTTTCCACCATCAACAATTGCGATGTGTAGATTGCTAACCGCCGTGCCAATAATTACCTTGTGGAGATATTCCTTCTTCCTCAAAACTATCCCATTTAGTTGTGGAGTTTCAACATATGAACTCATATAGATGATACCATTCTTTGTGAGGTGGGTTCCAAGGATAGAGTTGAATTATTTCTTTGCATTATCAGTTTTGAGAATCTAAATTTTGTATTTGAAATGAATGGGAATCTTGTTATGGAAGGGTTGAAAGATTTGTTCAACTTCAAAATTTTCTTTCATGAGGAATATTTAACTATTTTTAGTGTGGTATCAATAAAGCAGACAAATCATCCGACTCTATTGATGATTTTCAATTTTGGTCCCCAAATATCATTATGGATGATAAAGAAAGACTGTGAGAGTTTGTATTGAGACAGTGGGTAGACATTACCAGAATTTTTAGCAAATTTACAAATTGGACACTGATAAAGTTCAAGCTTCTTATTAATAAAAAGATGATGATGTGACTTTGTGACATAATGAATGTTTAGATGGTTTTGATGACAATATTATAATAAAACTTAACTTTAAACATACTAAAAAATAATAGACTCAAGAACATGGAGAAGAGGA